TTCAAATATTGTATTCTTCACTTCTGACTTGTTCTCTTTTATGGTTTCTTCATCCCACCTACCCCTTATTTCTTCTATTATAGTCTTCCCTTAAGATATTGTATTCTTCATTTCTGACTGGTTCTTTTTTTATGGTTTTATGACTTTTTCATGCTTTTGCAGTTCTTGCTAAGTTCCTTGAGCATTCTTATAACCAATTTTTTATTTTATATCTGGTAAATTTTTTGCCTCCATTTCATTTAGCTGTTTTTCAGAAGATTTTTCCTGTTATTTCATTTAGGGCATGTTTCTTTGTCTCCCCATTTTGGCTGCCTCTCTATGTTTGTTTCTGTGTATTGGGTAGATTTGTTATAACTCCCAGTCTTGATAGGGTGGCCTTATGTAGTTGTTGTTTTATGGGACCCAGTGGCACATTCTTCTTGATCACCTGAGCTGGGTACTCCAAGAATGTCTCTTGTGTGGATTACATGGGGACTGCCTGTTGTGAATGAGTCTTGATTGCTATTGGCCCATTCATGCATGGAGTCCACCTTCATGCTGGCTGACTATGAGAATCAACCTCAACCACAGTGTACAAGCTGCTGTGTAGGTGATGACCACCCAAAGTGGAGTTCACTTCAGCAGGGTCTGGTGCCTGCTGAGATTTCCCTTTGGATATGCCACTTGTGAAGCTAATTGGATTTGGCTCTGACATTATCTGAAGCTGGCCACTGGGTGTATTGGTTCTGGGGCCTTTAGGGAGGAACTCTGGTGCAGGCCCATATCAGACCCTGCCAGTAACTGGCCCTGTGCAATCTGTTTGCAACTACAAAGTGATCCACAGTTTGTGCCTGCCTCTACTGGTTATACCAAATATCCCAGGGTATACCAAATCTAGCCTCCATCCTCTGGGTGCTCACCTCTATAGTGCGGCATGATCTAAAGGACTTGCCAAGGCCAGGCCAGGCCATGCCAGCAGAGTTTATCAGGCTTATATAGACCAAGATTTGGCCATGTGAAGGGAGGCTCTGTACTGGTCAGGCTTGCTGGGGGAAAATGACCTCATCCTAGAGCCACACAGCTTTGTCCCAGAGTCTGCCAGGAGCCCAATCTCAGCAGGGTGGGGCCACTGGAAGTCATGAGGATGGAACTAGTGGATCTCTCATGAGGGGGAGGACTCAGTTAGACCTGGGGTAAGGTATGGGGGGGCCCTTCCCAAAGCTACACAACTCAGTCTGTGCCAGATTCTGGCCAGACTTCTCCAGGATGGAGCCACCATGAGTTGGGAGGGTGGAGCCAACAAAACCCAGAGAGTGGGAATAGCAGGTCTACCAAGAGGGGGAGGTGCCAGTCTAGTTCATGGATAAGCGGGAAGAATGGCCCTGCTCCAAAGCTATACTACTCGGTCACTGACACCCCCTGAGTCTGCCCAGACCTCTACATCCTTGCCCAGGCATCTGAGTCCTTAGCAGGGTACAAGCTTCACAGAGTGGGGCAATAGGAATTCCAGAGGGTGGGGCCATTGCATTCCCCTAGGTTGGTGTCATATGAAGGGGAGTGCTCCACCCAAGAAAGGGAACATCTGAGTTGTGGGAGGGTGACTCAGCACAGGTTTCCTGGTCGCTGTCCCTTCAGATCTCTTCCCAGAGCCACAAACCCCTGTCGGTCTTCTCACAACTCTAGTTCACTCTGCCCTCCCTCTGCTGGAGCCCAGGGTGAGTGGCTGTGAACAATATTTTGTGTGTTGCTCCTTTAAGAGGGCACCTGAGTTTCTAGCAGACTCCCATCTCTCCCTGGCAGACAGAATCCCTTCAATTTTCAGTCAGATATTATGTGGTGCCTCTTTCTGGCCCTGGTGCTCTGGGTTGGGGAGCCTGGCTTGGGGCTGGGACCCGTGTTTCTCAGGGGGAACCTTTGCAGCTGAGATATCCCTCAGAAATATTTTTTAAAGGGAAATAGGAAATGTGCTTTTGTTACAGATTACTAAAGGTTGAATGGTACTACTTGATCTATGGTATTTCACTACTGTTTTTAATTTGAAAAAACAAACCAAAAATTTACAATGGGGACTCAAGATATTTAGCAAATCAAGTTACTTTATTTCTGTCTTAAGATAATTAATATGATTAAAGCTATTGAAAAACTGTTATACTATATTCAATTATGTTATTATTTAAGAAATAAATGACCTTTCTTTATCACTAATCTAACATTTCTTTCTCCATTGAAACAAAAAGTTCTCAAGTTTGAAAGTAAAAGCAACATTCATAAAAACAGTGGAGTGCATTTGCTAAGACTTCACCTTATTATAACATCACATTACACAATAAGATCAACTAGTTTAAACTCCCATGTCAACGTTTTCCTTGAGTAGCAACACAAATATTTTTAAATGAAAAACTGAGAAAAAAAATCTGTATCTTTTATTACTTTGTACTTGATGATGATCTTATATGACAATTACAGTGAGAATAAAATTGAAATGACCTAATTACAGAACACTTTAAAAAAAATAATACCTGACAAAGAATATATAGTTCAGCCAAGAGATGTTTAATTTTTTTTCTATATACAAGTTGGTTTAACTAAACCACAGAAATTTAGTCTGGATCACTGTTTCCTACCAAAGCCTCCGGTAGCAGCCATCCCCAGGGTGTATCAATCAACCCCATTCCACATGGACCACAGAGCTCAGGAACCTGGGGACACCAGGTGGAATATGAGTAGTCCATCACTGGGACTGTTTCAGACCCCAGGCGTAATTGAAACAGTGGGTGGAACAAGAATCCAGAACCAAAAAAAGCTTTTGCAAAATGACTGTGATGAAACATTTAGGTATAAATAATATGAAAGGTATGTATAGACTTGAATACATCATGAGACAGATAACTATGGATCAGGGTACCCTAGTCCATGTAAAACAGTGAGCACTGAGGAAACCAATTAGGACTCAGTGATGATTTGCCTTTTGCAGGGTTTTGCTAACATGCCATTTTAGGGCAGAGCTTAGTTCTGTTCCCCAAAGATGTTCTTATTGCTGTTTATTTTTTTCTACTCCCCTTACCAAGATGCTCTACCAGTTCCAACACGATTAACATTTAGAGAGGAAAAAAGATAATTGAATCACTTGCAGAATTTCTGTATACTTTTCAAATAACATTATATAGATTAATGAGTGTTCTAAATACCTATTTACATTTCTCCTTTCAACGATTCCAATTTAAGCAATCATTCTGCTTAATCTTTTTTGAACACTCAACTATTACTTTGTATTACTATGCTTAAGTTACCTAGAAAGGGCAACAAAACAGTTCAGCCCCATTTCAGGAAAAGTTTCCAATCAAGACTAATTACGTAGTGACAAATAACAAGGAATGGTGACACCTTTGGGTCAAGACTGACAAGGAAGAATGGGCTCTGATGCTATGATTCATCTCCAAAAAGAATATGGTACAATGGCCAGCACCAGCCATACTAACACTGAACCTTTAGTGCTGGTCACAAATTTGGGTCTCTTCTCTGAAGCTAGCAAATCAAGTGAAGTAATTGGGTCAAAAAAGTTTTTATATGAAGTTTTCAAAATCATTCTATTGACACATTTGCCTTTCAAAATGTACATGAAACATAGTTTTCTCCTCTAATAACCCAGATTTTTTTTCCCTCAGATAGCCCATCATGTAGCTACAGATAGACTATTCTACCTTGAGATGTAAAAGTAGGGGAAAAAATTAACAGCGTCTGCATAAGATTCTCTACACACTGTTGTTGGATGGAAAATAGAAAATTTAAAAAGGAAAGAAAGAGAAAGGGAGGGAGGGAGGGAGGGAGGGAGGGAGGAAGAGACGGAGGGGGGGGGGGGAAGGTCCTGTCTTAGATTCTCATAACCTTTTGGTTTGCGGTTCATAAATTCGATTCTGATGCTAAGGTGGCAGTGTATGTAAGTAGATTTTTGTTTTCAGTGAACGAGACCTGGGCAAAGATGACGTTCTCTCTTTTTCTTCAAGAGTTATCAGATGGTACATGCTCCTCAAAAGCCTCACTCTCTCAAACTAGAGCACATTCCAGGATCACACAGCCTTCTTTATTACACTGGCTGTCTTCAGTGGCAAACTAGTAGATCCATTCCAGTTTGCCACTGAGGTTTTTACATGTGGCAGCCAGTGAGCATGACCTTGTCTTGAACTTGACTGGACTGCAGGTTAACTACCTAAGAAACTTGTTAAAAAGAACTGCTTTGCCAGTGGTGCCTGGAAACTGACGGGGGATGTGTTCTGAGCAGCTGGTCAGAATCACATTGCACTTGCCTGAGAAAACATGAGTACCACCGATAGGATCGAGGAAAATCCTGCCCATTTTTTAGTTGAAGTTCTAAAAACTGGTGTTACTTTAGGTTTTCTGTCTGTTAAGGAGACCTCAAGTGGCTGTAATATCTGTGGCTGCGAAATCTGTGGCTGCTTCTGCTTAACCTTTATTACAGAGATCTTGGGATGCATTCCGATACGATGACTATATAATTTCCCATGTCTTGCCAAGTAGACCTAAGACACGAAGATGCCTGCTCTAGTTCTGCTCTATTAGGAACTCCCATAATCCTGGTTTCCTACTTTTCACAAAGTAGGGCTTGTTGGGATATGAAACTGTCAGCATTTGATACACGTTAATTTTTTCTAGAGAACTACTCTCTGCAAAATTTTTACCTTGCTCCATAAAGAGGGTCACCCCAGTTGTTACATAATAGGAGGAGGTAAAGTCATATTCTCCCTAGGGAATTCGCTGGTACCTCAACAATAAATAGAAATTGTCAAAAACTATTCTTTTGGTTGTTGTTTGTTTTTGTTTAATTCAACTTTTGAAGGAGAAAAGTGTGCAAGGTTATATAATCTCTAAAAAGATAACCTCACGATTTAGGTAGTTGTATTTACTCTTTGGAATTTCTCTGAAATGTCATGAACCTATAGTTATTTAATTGAGACATTTTGAAAAAAATATTATTTAATGTATCTGCTCTTATTTCTTTTTAGGTCAGTCTCGATTCTCGAGTTAGAGAGGTGATCAATAGAAATCTGTTGGATCCCAATCCTCACATGTATGAAGATGCCCAACTTCAGATATATACCTTAATGCACAGAGATTCTTTTCCAAGGTTTTTGAACTCTCAGATTTATAAGTCATTTGTTGAAAGTACTGCCAGCTCTACTTCTGAATCTTAATTTTCATTAAAAAAACATCACTTTGGAGGGCTGGGATGGGAAATAGAAGTAATGAAATAACACCAGAAACGGAGTCCCTGGAGAACTACGGTTTAGCAATTCCTCAGGCTACTGTGAAATAAAACCATATGGTCTTGTCTCCATTTTTATCAAGGTTATCCATGGTTAACTTTGGAGGAAATACCACATACAACAATGAATTGCCAAATTAAGTTTGTTTTATTCAACACTCATTCTATTTGCAAGCAAACTGTATTTGTAGTCCTATGAACAGTCTCCTAGTGTATTTCCAGAGACTGCATGTGCAAAGTAAAACTGCTTCATCTGCCAAGTAGTTGTTGTGATATTTAATCCAGTGGCATAACTTCTATCTGTATTTAAGGACTTTTGTGCAATATGGTCTTACAAAAAAAATTGCCAAAAAGTTGGCTGTGGTTTGCGTTTTTAAATATAATCTAAGACAGAAAAAGCCAATTTTTAAATTGTAACACAATGACATTCAACATGCTATATACTGTGTTTCATACACTAATTTTGAAGCCAATATATCTGTACATGAAAAAAAAGAGCTATTTATCTCTGTTTGTTGGAAAATGTTACTGGGGGATTCCTCTGGTTGTACACTGCCAAAACTGTGGCATTTTTATTACAGAGGAATTTGTCGTGTAAAAAATCACTAGACAAAAAGAGGAAAAAATAAGCACAAAATCATTTGAAGAAATTCTATCTCCATGAAAAATCAAAGAGTGATTGTTTTTAACTGTAACAGAAGAAAATTAATCTATGTATATATCACATGTCCAATACTGTAATTAATTTATTAAAGACTGGCTCTCCAGTTCCAAAACAGTTGTGTAATGTATGTACTTTAGTAAGAAAAAAATAATAAGCTTGATAACTTAGTTTTGGAATATAAAGAAAGAATTTAATAAAGGAATGCCTACATGTAGCATCATAAAAAATGTTGATGAAAAGCATCGTTCCCTGTGGCATATTTTCCTTGAAAATGAAATCCAGTGAAAAGCTGTTTTTAACCAAGACAAGTTTTATAAGGGTTATGAAGAAGATAATTCTCTATTTCAGACCTTACCTGTTTTCACATAGTATCTTAAGAATTGCTTATTTTTCAAATGTTGAAACCAAACTATTTAATTCTCATCCATAATTGAAAGGCAGTGCAGTGCTCAAATCTCTTAGCTGCCATATTATTTTTTAAAGTATCACTAAATCTGTATGACAAAATACTTGCCTGACATGGGCATGTACTTTCGACATTCAAGAAAATAGTATTCTGTTGTGCACAGACACAAAAATCAGTGTCGTATTTATATCAAGGCGTTACATTTGAATATTAATACCCCCTGGAGGCTATTTTTTTAATCTTAAACTTATTAAATATAATATTGAGCAATCTAAAGTGAAAGTTTTAAAAGTATTTATATCCACTGAAAATACTGGCCTTATATTAAGGATGATATTAAAATTATAGGTTTTCTTTGTCATTTTTAACTACCTCTCATTTTTTAATTTATTAAACATTAACAAAACAAGTTTGGGTTTTCTTTTTAAATTTTATTTTACTTGAAAGGTTGGCATCATAAGTTTCTTTTTCCATAAATTTAAGACATTTTAAGACTTGTTTTTTTAAGTGAAGTTGATTTTCTAATTTACATAGAATTCAGGAGAATTGTTTAAAAGGGCTATTACCTATTCCCTATGCAAATATTTTAGCTGTTGCAGTGTTTGACAAAATGGGATTTTAAAAAAAGTTTGCAGAGTAGAAAAAAAAAAAATGTTCTGTTTACACTGGCGTTGCTGACTATCCTACCATATTCAGCACTTTTAAATACATTATTTATGAAAATGTACTTAAAATACATGATAGAAAATATTTATAATAATCATTTCTTTTAACAAATGCCTGTTTTTGTCTGAAAGTGTTAGTGTGTTAAGACATACTTTATCCATGTCAATTAGATATTTACTATTTGAATAATAGTTTTCAGTTATATGTTGAAAAAAGATAGCTATAAAGATGTTTACAAAAAGTCATATTTTTTTCCTAAAGAGTGAAGAAAAACCTAAAAGCATTATCACTTCTATTGTGAAGTTCTATTGTTCCTGTATTGTTAAAAAAAAATTTTGGTTAGAATTGAGTTTATTATGCTACTATGATGTATACACATATATGTTGTATTATCATACTTGTTGCTGTGTTTGAAGAACAATAAATTGGTGCACATGACTAGAAAATATGTAATATACTGATATACTGCATGCATCAATCTTTTAAAATGTAGACTTTATATTCCTGTTGTTGCTATATATGATGGTGACCTGCTAGTCAGTCATAAGTTATCTTTATAAGATACTTTGGACTCTTAGATGAATTGTCTGTTTGACAATACTTTTAATATTTTACCAAATGTAAAAGATAAGGGCCCTTATAAAGAGTCCTGATCTCTAACTTGGGCATTTGTAGAATACAGACTTTGAAGTTAGTATATCCTTTTGAAACCTGACTAGGAAGTTGTGTTGAGAATGATTCTAAAGTAGATTTACACATTAGATGTTGCTAATCATGCTATGTGAGTTTTTCTGTGCTAAATTCCTATTTTGGGGAGGAGAGTGTTTCTCATTTAATTTCAAAATGTTTAAAGTTTCTATCTAGGAGTATGTCTGTATATTTGCAACTCTATAAATTTTTCAAGTATGGTATAATTCCTTCTGTTTTAATTACAGAGCTATAATAAACAAAAAATGCCCTCAAATGGTGTCTATGCTACCATTCCAAGAGCACAATAATCGTTTGGGTAGAATTAGATTTTTCCTAGTGAGTGAATTCCTCCCTGAGGAAAAATTCGCACTTTAGAAGGTACACTTGTGTTTTAGATTGGCAATATATCTTTGCATACTGTTAGAATCTGCTAATGCACACAGAAAGAGGTCACTGCTTTTTCTATAGTGCCTATAATGGAAAGAAAAGTAGAGGATATAGATTATATATAAATATATATATATATATATATATAAATAAACTGGAGAGCCAGATTTCTTCAGAGATGGGTCTTGTATATAGATCACATAATAATGGATGGATGACACTTCTTTACTCTGGATAATTGTTATTATGTTTACCTAAAGGTAACATAGATATCCCAACAGTGTTAAAGGGCAGCTCTAAGCACAGTAGTGCACTGGCATATGAACAACAATAGCAAAAGACAAGTTTGATGTCAATGTCATTAAGTGCAAAAATCAAGACCATTAAGAGGTCTTTGTTTTTAATCTTAAAATATGTACATAGAATGACCAGTTCTGATATCTGGTCCTGGTGCATGGGGTGTTGAATAGTAAGTATCCTTTAATTAATGCTGCCTAGGTTCTTGCTTACAGAATCAAATGTGTATCATATTTTTACCTGATAATTCAGTTTTGCGAAAGGACTATAGAACTAGCTAAATGATGTTTGTTTATTAGGGCAAAAATACATTGTCACCACATTAAGCTGATTTAAAATAATACCTGATTCTTAATTTTTAGTTTATCTATTTTTTCTATACACTTTTTTAACCTACATTGAAAAAAAAGTCATTGTAGTTGTGACAAATAAAATCTGCAAATATACAATATATCAGATGTATTGAAGAAAAATAAAATCAGAAAATAAAATAAGAACTTTTTGAGCACCACCTAAATTTCTTAGATCTAAAATGCCTATAGCTAGAACTCTATGAAGCATGAATTTTGAACTTTGCGCTGCATACATTGGCAAATTATTGTGAAAGCTGGTAAAGATATTTCCAGAAAATGTTCTGGTCTATGTATTTATAGTGACATTTATGACAGTTAATTTTCAAAGTATATATATATATTTTAAAAATCACTTTTTTTTTTATCCTCACCCGAGGACATTTTTCCATTTTTTGTTCAGATAGAGTGGGAGGGAGAGAAAGAGAAACATCGACATGAAAGGGACACATCGAGTGGTTGTCACCCGTACGACCCATCCAGGGCCGGGGACAAACTGCAACCAAGGTACATGCCCTTAGCGGGAACTGAACCCGGGTCTCTCCGGACTGCAGGCTAACGCTCTAACTGCTGAGCCAAACCAGCCAGGGCTTCAAAGTATATTTTTGCAAAGCCTTATATTTATGTTCTCCTTTCAGTTCTTTATAAATTCTGACCAATATAAAATGTTAGTTCTCCTGAGAAAATAGTATTAAATCTGTAAAAATTTTAGCTATCCCTCACTTGCTACAACTGCAAATTATTTACCAGTAAAACTGATACAAAAAACTTGCTTCAGATCTTCCCTGCAATACTCTTAACAGTTTCCTTGCAACACGCACCAGATTGTGAAGTTTAATTTCCAAATATGAGGCTTTAATTATAAATTTGAGTTCAAGCTACATTTTTGTCTTATGTGACTTTGGGCAAATCATTTATCCTGAGCATGTTTCCTCATCTTCAAATGAGGACTATACTTAATTTACAGGATGGTCATGAAAAGGAAATGAAATAAACATGGAAAGAGTAAAATGTTACATATAATGTTATTTTAACAAAGTTCTCCAGCTCAATAATAATTCTCATTTAAAATATATATATTAAATGCTGTTTTTGATGCATGTTTCCCATATTTTTTCAAACCATACTTTAAAAATATAATTTAATTATTCATCCAAATTAATACAACCAAGCTTATTTTCAGATGGAGGAACATATGAATGTTATTGCTTTGTTAAAAAATGTGATGCAAAATCACCATTTTCAGTTCACCAACATCACCCTGATTCTACAATCAAGAAAAAATATCACACACATACACATGGAGATATATATATATAGTTAGATGTGTGTATGTGTGTGCATATCTATAGGCTTAAATCAAAGTTTAAATAAGAGAAATCATTTGAAAAGTTTACTTCCTTTGGAATAAACAACATTCCCAAGAATGGGAAGAATATAAATATCAAGTAATTTGCCAAATAAGTATATGGAGTGTAGAACTAAAATTAAATTATGAGACTGGCCATTAGAAAACATTGATATGGACATAAAATAGAAAGCATTTTTTAATATTACAGTAGTATGATTTTTAAAATAATTTTACCATGAAAATAAAAGAATAAAAGGTATTTGTGTATTCATAAACTTTTTTAAATCAACATTTTATTTTTTGAATAGTTTCAGAATTACAGAAAAATTGCAAAACTATTAGACAGCACACCCATGAGCTATCTGCCACATAATGAACCAAAACCAGTGCATTAAGTCTACACTTCATTCAGATTCCCTTAGTTTTTACCTTTCTGTTTCAGTATCCCATTCAAAATACCACATTACATTTAGTCATCATGTGTCCTTAGGCTCCTCTTAGCTGTGACAGTTTCTCAAACTTTTCTTGCTTTTGATGACTTTGACAGATTTAAATAGTGGTCTAATATTTTGAAAAATGTCCCTCCATGGAATTCAGCTGATGTTCTCCCCTTGGTTAGACAGGTGTGTTTGGAAGGAAGACCCCAAAAGTAAAGTGCTGTTTATATCACTTGATATCAAAGGTGCATATATCATCATGACTTATTCCTGGTGATGTTGACTTTGCTCATCTGGCTGAGATAGTGTTTGCTAGGTTTCTCCGCTGTAAAATAACAGATTTTTAAGAGGTTATATTGCACATAAATTTACTATACATTTACACTGAGCTAAAAAATTATGAGCAGATTCCTCAGCACTGCTATTAGGTTCCATTGATTGATTGCTAACAAGTACTATGAAGAAAATACAATGAACTGAAAAGTGAAATGGGAAAATTCCCAGTGTGACCTTGAATACTTA